CATTGTAAGGCTAAGAGGTGTAGGTGGAGTATTCATGCATCTCAGTGTCAAGATGGGAGGACATGGCAGGTATGTTTTTGATTCAATGTTCATTTGTTGGTTACTAACTCTTCACATTGTTCCCTCGTTTTATTGATGGGTGCAGATTAAGAAGTTACCACACAAGCATAACTGTGCCAGCAAAAGCAAAGTGCAAAGGAATTGCATGGCTACCAATCACTGCGTCAAGGACAGAGTAATAAATTGGCTTAGGGAAGATCCAACTCCTGGGCCTAAAGTTTTGAAGGCCAAGTTGGAGAAGTACTACATCCACCTATTCACTCTCTGCTCTCTGGCTATTCTACTCACAGCAGCCCTCTGAACAGATACAACATTAGCCAGGTTCACCAGAGAATTCTACAAAGCCTTCAAGCTGGCCATCACTGCTGCAGCATCCACGCCATCTCCTACGCTCGGTGGCTTCCACATGAAGAAACTGCACGGGCCGTTGCCCCATTCACGCCGAAGAACACAAGATTAGGATGAACCCTAGATCAGGATTTGTAAAGGCTAAAATGGACCAACAAGAAATGCAAATAACTCACCCAGTCCTAATTCCTGCAAGTGTAGAACTGCTTGTCTGGGTTGTTTTGGGTTCTGGAGGTCCGCTCCACAATGGTCGTCATCCTGTAGAAAGGGCACAGCGGCTGCGCCTCTGTCGCTCCACGTGACCCTATCAAGGACAAAGCGCCTGAGCCTGTCGCCATCTTCAACTGACCTCTGCTTGCTCTTTCATGTCGACGACACCTGCCCGCCAACGCCGCGCCTGTCGCACCCACCCGCCTGTCGCTGCCTTTATCGTGGTGACGGGAAGGAGAGTGACAATTGGAGAGTGAGACGGGATCTGGGCCAATTATTATCTGGTCCAACCAGACCAGGTTGGGGTCGAACCCAAATGTGGCTCAGGGCACCGGATGTCCATATTGAAAATTTCTCTCCTCAACCGGTTGAAACTAGGGCGCGGTGTCCTGTGGCTAAATTTCAACGAACCAGAGTGTCTTCTAGCAAACGGCTTCACTTTAGGTGTCCACCAGCAAACGATTATCACTTTTGATGCCCACCGGCCAATTTTGCCAACTAAATATGGCAATTGGCAAGTAGTATATTTGAACGGCCCGAGGTAGCTTGTTGCCCCTCAAGAGAGAAGATTCTGCACTGAAATTATTTTAGGTGCATTTAAATTTAGATTAGCAGCTTATGCATCGATCAAGGGTGTTCCGATTCATCATCTGCAAATTATAAATATATATGTTGCAGGCACGCCACCCAGTTTGTACAATACTCTATCTATTATAAATTATAAAATGTTTTGGTTTTTTAATTCATAGTTTTGCTACGTACCTAGATATATGTTATGGCTAAATGCATAGTGAAAACTATGAATCTACAGATATCAAAACTATGAAAGTAAGTAGGCAGGTACATCGCCGTCTCCGGCGGCCTGGGCCAGATGCACCCGGTTGTTAAGTTCCCCGTTTTCGTGTCAGTTGTCTCTAGCTCACGCTGAACCCATCGCTATCAGAACACAATGTATCTAGATATTTTTTTTATTTATATATCTAGACATAATGTATATCTAGATATATATTAAAATATTAAATACTTATTTCTATCAATATTGTTATACTAAATACTTAAATCAAAGTTTGCATGAGTATAAATGTATAACCATAATAATATTAGAGAGATTGTATGCATATACATGCACGCCATAAAGAAACAAATCAGTCTTTCTCATTTGTCACTTAAAAATTCGAACTTTCTTATATGGCATCAAGGCCTTGTTTCGCTGAAAAGTCAGGCTGAAAAGTACTTTCGCTGATTTATTGTGAAAAAAATAACGTACCATATCTAATAAGCTAAGCCGATAAGTTCAAGTGGAGAAGGCTAAAACTTCCTTCTTTAAGGCCCCGTTTGACACGGCTCTACTTCACCCATGAAGCCTTTTTTGGGGCTTCAGCTCTATGAACAGCTCTATGGGTGGAGCTGTAGCTGTTTTCATAAATCGTTTGGTAAAACAGCTTCACATATAGTTTTTCTTAAAATATGCTCTCAGAGAACGCCATGTAGAATGAGGTGAAGCCGAGAGAAGCCACTATTTTTGGCTCCTTCCCACCCCAAAGCTCTGTGAGAGCACGTTTTTAGGGGCTTCATCGGTGGAGCCGTTTTATTTTATCCCGTTTAGCAGAAAACGACTCCAAACGGCTTCTGAAGCCGCTAGAGAAGCTCTGCCAAACGGGACCTAAATAGCACTACAGTCTGTTTTGACCACATCAGATTTTTCTCATTATGACCAAAATACCCCTCTTGTGCTAACGCAAGCAATTTTCTCTCCCGACTCCCCGAGCCATACTCCTGTCTGCCGCGACATTCTTCTCCGTAAAAAAAACGAACCCTAGATCGCTGGAAGGAGGAGAGGATGATGGAGCAGAGGATCCCCATGGCTGGCGCGGCGTCCAGCACCAGCTACGCGTGTCCTCGACGGGCGGCGGCGTCACCCGGACAGAGCCAAGCCACGGCGCGGTGGCAGTGGGCGGGCGGGCTCATGCGGGCCGGCGCCCGGCCAGCCAGCGTCGTGGCGGAGGCGGCGCGCCCCTCCGACCAGCCAGCTAGCTCCGTTTGGTCGTGCCGAGTCGAGGAGGCCGCCGAGCTACGTCCGCGCCGTGCCAAGTCGGGGAGGCTGCCGAGATCTGTCCGCGCCGTTGCTGGCTCCTTGAGGAGCTCCATCCGCGCGTGCCAAGTCGAGGAGACTGCTGAAGCCGCCACACGGGCCGCCGACGGGTCACGGGACGGCAATCTCTTCGGCGGCCCACCGGACGGCAGAGCCTTCGTTCTCCCTGTGGTGTCGGCGTGCTGCGCCGGTTGGTCCGCTTGCCTCTCATCAAGTTTATTTACGACGGCGACGACGATTGCCTGCTGCTAATCGCAAATCGTCGACGTCCACGGAGAGCGTGGTGAAGAAGGCGATGGCAGCATGCCGTGCCGAGTAGAGGAGGCCATCGAGCTCCGTCCTTGTCATGCCACCGCCGGAATCCTCAAATTTACCGAAGTTTTTTTTTTTTATGTTGGGCGAGTGTATTTTCTTGACACTCGGCGAACAAGTTTTTGTTGAGTGCTGCTTTAAAAATATTTGAAAAAAAAAACACTCGACAAAGAGGGGGTTACCGAGTGTAAGTGTTAAAAAAACACTTGGCAAAGAAATAAAATCTTTTTCCTAGAAAAAAAGAAAGAAAAAAAATAAAAAAAAACTTTGTCCAGTGCTAAATCTGAAACACTCGGCAAATGAAAAAAAAGCCCGCCTCGGTCCGTGCGCCCGGCCCCTCCTCCCTCTCTCCTCTCCAAATCCGACGCCGCATGCGCCGGGCCCCTCCTCCCTCTCTCCTCTCCAGGCCTCTCCTCCCTCTCTCCTCTCCAAATCAGCCGCCCCCGCCTCTCCTCCCTACAAATCCGCCGCCACGGCTCCTCCTCCAAATCCGCCGCCCCCGCCCCTCCTCTCACCTTTCTTCCCCGGATCCGGCCGCCGCACCGCCCCTCCTCCCCGGATCCGGCGGGGACCCCTCCCCTCCTCTCCCTTTCTCCGGCCGCCGCCCCCCCCTCCTCTCACCTTTCTTCCTCGGATCCAGCCCCTCCCTTCTTCCCCGCCGTGGCATGGCGCGGTGGAGCTGCCTCTCACCCTCGCGGCGCCCGGATCCATGGCGTGGCGTGGCGCGGCCTCTCTCCCTCGCCGGTGCTCAGATCCACGGTGGCAACGGGCGGAGGCGGTGGCCCGCGAGCACGGGTCCTCGTGGCAGCTGTCTCCCGCGACGCGGATCCATGGCGAAGCGACCCCCACCCGCGGAGCACGGCAGCGCGGGCCCAGACTCCCTCCCTCGCTCGATGGCGGCGCGGATCTGGCTCGGTGGCTTCGACAACAGCAGACACGGCGGGATCCAGCACGGGAGCGGCAGGACGGCAGGACCGTGGGGAGGTGGTGGCGGAGCAGGAGGTGGTGGTGGCGGCCGGTGGCTGGCGCTTGTTTTTTTATTTTTTCAAAAAATGTTCGCCGAGTGTTTTTTTGGGCACTCGGCAAAGTCTTCACGGAGTGCCCGACAAAAAACACTCGGCAAAAACAGCATTTGCCGATAAAACCGTTTGCCGAGTGTAACACTCGGCAAATGGTTTGCCGAGTGTAACACTCGGCAAATGGTTTGCCGAGTGTTTTTTGGTTTCGCCGAGTGTCCCTGGCACTCGGCAAAGCTCCTGTATCCGGTAGTGTGCCAGGTAGAGAGGCAGCCAGCACCAGGCGCTGCAGGTAGTGAGTGAGGGAAGGAAATAAGGGCATTCATGTCATTTTACTAACCACTTGACACCATTATTGATCTAAATGGACCGTAGTGCCATTTAGAGAAGGAAATTTTTACTTGATACTAGATAAGAAAGTTTGATTTTTTTAGTGCCAAATAAGGAAGACTGGTTTATTTAAGTACTAGATAGATAATTCTCTCGGCCATGCTTTCGTTAGTTATTTTCCTGTGAATGCATCGCTTATATATAATAAAGAAAACATCAGTCATGCTTGACCTGTGAATGCATCGCTTATATATATAAAGAAAACATCAGCCATGCTTCCGTTAGTTATTTTCCTGTCTTCTTGTCAATATATACAAGATGTCGGTTTAGCATGACACTGTAAAGCCAGATGTAATACGCGTTGTTCTAGATTACCACACTACTAGAGCACATTTGCAGCCATCTTATGCGCTGAGCTGAGCATACATATGGTACATTTACAGTGCTACACATTTTGTGCCACGAAAAAAGCTTCAAGTGGAGGTAAAACACACTCAAACCGTGTGCTATTTCTCGAGCAACTCCTTCCATAGGTAACAGAAAAAAGAATTGTGAAATTGAACCTCTTCCATAAGTAACCATGAGAAGACATATGATGTGTATGCATTCTTAGGATCGGAGAAGACCATGCCTTACTTATCTGCCAACTGGTTGTGCAGGAATTTGAGAACAGAGAGGCGCTGCAAAGGTAGGTGATGAAGGTTAGTTTGGAACAACAGGTATAGGCGCGGGGATGAGAGTAGGAATAATGAGGATCAACAATAGCTACCCGTTGTTCAAGGCTAGCTTGTTCAGAATCCAGCTTCAGCTTCCCAAGGCATTGAATTGCTTCCTCAAAACCCTCTATTGCGGTGCTCTCATTCCCAAGATTTCTATCCACATCAGCAACTTTGGCAAGAGAAGTTGCTAGATCAATGACCTATATCCAAGAAATGCAAATTAAAATACTATTACACTTAGCACACATACCTAGAAGCAAACTACACCCTGGATCATGTGTCTATTCTAGAGCGACAGATTAGCTCTAATGGAAACAGCTAAAATCAAGCTAATGTTCAAAAACAGCTAAAATCAAGCTAATAGAAACATGTAAAACTTCTCAAAAAGAGAGGTTTGATGAATAACATAAACATGTTTTCTGTAAAATTAAAAACGGGTAAAGAGAACTAATGTTCCATTTAAGCAAGGCCAGGCTTTGACCAAATATATGCAGCAAAGCAGGATTGTCATACTTCGACTGAAAATTATTTATCTAGGCCATAGGTTCAAGAAGAATACAACAGAGTACAAAAGTTTGCCACTACCCAGTTATTACTGACTACCATTTTCTCCAGAAGTACAGTAAAATTTCTAGCTTGCCAATTATTCCAGATCATTAGTTTGTTGCTCCCTTCTTTATCCTTCCCTATCACACGATTCACATCACTTCCATTATAGCATTGCACAGATGAACTAGATATCTTTTTGACAAACCTTTGTAGTACAAAACAACAGCGTTCCTGTTCCGTGTCACCCAACAGTTTACGTATAGTATAACTCCCTGCCTCCTGCACAACATACCTGGGAAGCCACTGCTGAGTGCTCTTTTACGGCATTTCTGCGAACATCCAATGAACGGGCATAATAGTTTCTTGCGGATTGGAGGTCCCCATCATAGTAGCGAAGGTCACCAATTTTATTTAGTGAAACAGAGAGAGTATGTACCAGCTGCAGATGAATGTAAAAGATAAATCAGCAGATAGTAATTCCGATGTTATTACATTACACCAAAATTGAATACAACCTCAAGATCTTTTGTGGGGAGTTTCGAGAGTATCTCAGCACTTCCTTCATAGTATGTGATTGCTGAATGAGCATCTCCCAAGGTCCGACTGAAAACACAGTACAATGGCAAGGATGCAATGTTGAATGAGTTCAGTGACTAACTGATTAACAAACTTAGCAAAATAAGATCTAAGTGCCACAGCTGATTGTGTTGATAAATATTGAATTAAGAACAAGACATAATCATATGGACAATGAGGTATGCCATTGTAATAGTGACATAGATTAGATAGATAGTCACTAATGACAAGTAGCAAAATAGAGTACTAAAGACATTCAGAGACATGTGATAGGTCCTGTGTGTGCTGAACAAGGTAGCTAGACATGCTGATCAGGGTCATGCTAACTTGCTATTAGCCTACTTCAGCCTGTAGTTAGCGCGATGCTTGGTACAGGGAACGCTCTCTTTTTTTCCTCGTTTAGTGAATACCATCCAAATAGGTTGCAAGCAGCCAGTGGATGGCAAAACTATCAGGCTAGAACCCTACTAAATACTCCTAATTGCATCAGTCCGTCCATCCTCAATCCGCACGACTAATTTATGCTGAAAATTGGACCACCTATTGTAATGTTCAAAAGTAGATAGTAAAGGAGCAGTGAGACTTCCTTTCTTCGATGGAAAAGACTTTAGCTTGTTAAAACATACCAGCAGTCCCCAAGCATTCCTAATACAGCTCCAAGCTGCGAACGAGGTCCAGATTATCTTCTGAAGATTTCAACTCCTCCCTGATGTAAATGCCTCTGCACGCATAGTGAGCCTTGATTGTGCACTTTCAATGTTCTGGGCACGAAAAGCCTCGAGAAGAAAAAGTAATGGCATTGTTGTAACATCATTATTATAATAAATTCATGAAAAAAATGAGAACAATTAATCATCAAACTTTTACAGGTTCCATGATCTAAAGTTCACGCAACATAAGAGTCTAAAGCGGTTGACTTAATTACTAACCCTCATAGCTTGCTGCACAAGAAAAGCTCCTCTCTCCATCGAAACATCCTCATATATGACTTTGTCCTTGAAATCTGCTGCTTCCACATCTCCTGTAGCATGTGACCGCTTGATTCTGGCATGGCCATCAATGAACTGATCAACAAGCGCTTGAAGCTCGGCATCAGGCTCAATCCCCTCTATATCAGCACCACACAGCGGGCAGTCCTTAAAGCATGATATGCATGCCCTGGCAATGGAAATCCAATAAGAACCTGCTGAATCAAGGAATCAAACGTAAAGTGCATACGAAGCACGAGACGCACTTGCAGAATTTATGGGCACACGGCTTGCATTTGCTGCTTTCATGGAGCAGCGCCTGGCAGACAATGCAGCTGAGCGGGCCCAGCTTGAACGTGTTGCAGTCATAGCCAAATGGGCACTTTGCCGGCACCATGCGAGGATCATCGGTGCCCTTTTCTTCACCGCCGTCAGTACTTTCCTTGTGCTCACTGCCATGACCCTTGCCGGTGACAGGGCATACACCAGTGATGCTCTTGTCAGATTTTGCTGCAGGGCATAACCCAACGCTGCTCTTATTGGCGGCTTTCACAGGGCATACGCCGCTGCCACCACCATTAGTAGCTCCCGCAAAAGGGCAGAGTGAGCTCATATTTATTCAATCGGTGTTCCCTTCCCTGCAGAAAATGGGACAAGGAACATGAAGTTGCATATTTGGAGCACAAAATTATCATATGACAGCGCAACTGAAATTCTATATGTATGTATGTATACGCGTTAGTAGAACATCGCTGTCGGCAAGCAAAGCATTGATCCGTTTGGTGATGGTTGGGTCGGTCAGCTCCACAAAGGCATAGCTAGGCTACTACATGTAATGTTATGGAAGGAAATTGACAAAGCACGGCATGAAAACTCAAGGTGCAGTAAATTTGAAGTGGCTACACTACAGTGTTGTTTGAGCATTGGAACACATGTGTTCCAACTTCCAAGCTGATGTGATAAATTTCGCTTCGATTTCAGCCAGATTCAACAAAATCGAAAGGGGGTTTGCCTTGTAAATCACCCACCGAAGTTACTCGCCTTCCTGTGCGCTGTATGCCCCTCCACGAGGGCCTGGGACGGCGAATTCGCGCGGCGGCGTGGGTGGAAGCGCGCCCAGTCCTCGGCGACAGGTGAGGTCGCGCGGCCGGCGCGGGCGGCGGCGGCGCGATCGACGCGACAGCAAATTTGGGGCACAAGCAGAAGCAGAAATAAAGAGAGGTGCGTGAGTGGTAGGGAATGCCTGGATAAGATCGCATCCAACGGTGCCAGGAGTGCCACGTGGGATGATCCAGCGACCACACGCTGCGCCACACCACCAGGAAGGAGGAAGGGGGCTATGAACGAGAGGATTAGCATCAACTTAACAATAATTGTTGGTGAATTAAGCATCACCACAAGTACTATCTGCATTGGCATTTCTCACTGTACAAGCAGCGCACACATCACAGACAGACTTCATATCTCATTCATTCATTCACAAGGTAAAGAAAGAAATGCAACTATCTGCTGACCACCTCTCATTCTCTATATGATCTGATCTGATCCAGAAGAAAGAAACGAACACTTTGACCTCCCTACATTATTATCCGACACAGCTGGTTTCAGTTAATCCCCAGACCTCCCTCCGTCCCTTTTGCAACCTATGTGCTACTCATTTTTCTTTTCATGTACACTACATACATGCAGTCATGACTTCGCCGCCACCGCCTCCGTGGCAGCAGCAGTTTCCTCAGCGCTCGCCTTGCCTGGAAGCAGCGCCGAGGGAGCTTGGATCTGTGCGATCTCCAGCAGGATCTTGTTGAGAGACTGCGGCTTCGAGAAGAAGGGGCAGTGGTCGCCGCCCTTGATCTTGAAGATGCCGTCAGGAGGGTTCTCGCGGACCAGCTTCTCCTGGGCGTCCGGCGACAGCATGTGGTCATCGAGCGTCTGGATGAAGTAGCGGCGGACAGTGCCATAGTTCTCTGGGGTGAGGGAGAGCTTCTCCATGATTGGGGCTAGAGGGGATAGGCCTCATGGACACCGCGGCTAGCGCCATATCCTGCATATTATGAAGCATGAGCAAACTTGTTAACAAGTCAACTGGAAATACAGGCTGGCATGAGAATGCTGGATACAATACATCTTTTAACAGGTTCTGGTTGCATAATGGTAGAACACAATGTACTCACCTTGGAAGGTGTTTGCTTGAAATAAAGCCCCTTGATCTGCTGTTTATCGAACATCAGCCCAGTAGGAGGCTTGTCCTTTCCATTTCCATAAACTAAAAACTGTGATTCTTGCAAGAAAACATCTGCTGACCGGAGCTGTGAAATGCAGGTTAACGTAAGCTCCCATTGAATATGTACATGGAAATGTTATAAACACATAAAGGGGGATTCCATACTTCCTCAGAGAACACATCAAAGGGCCGCTGGCCATCCTTCACCATCGTAGCTGTAAGAAACACCGCCTTTGATATCTTTTTGGGGTATTTCTCCAATGCATATGACACACTTGCACCTCCGCAACTATGGCCGACCAAAATAACCTGCATTATCGTCGTTACAAACACAGTGGTCAGAAAAGCTGAATGTTTCCTCCCAAAAAAATAAATGTACACAGAACAGCAGATGTAACAGCCACCTTCTCATCTTCAGGAAGTTTATCAAGGTAATCAATCAATGGCTTGGAGTAATCTGCTAATGTAGCTATGCTGTTTGTATCAGTATGGTCTATGCCAGAACCTGTGAGATCTAAGGCAACAGGATCTAAACCAGCTTCCTCCAAGTGTGAGATGGTCTTGTACCAACACCAAGCACCAAAACCTTCTCCATGAACAAGGACAATTTTCTTTGTTTCCAAATTCTCCAGAACAATTGGGGCCTGAAAGCATATACCAGCAGCACCATTCAAAATCTTTTTTTTTCTAAGAAACCACAAGATAATGTTTGTATGAAAATGTTAGACATTTTCTTCTTACTTTAACTGTTGACAAGGCTAAGGACAAAGAGACAAAACTACTCTTAGGAATTTACAGGTCAGGCAACAAAAACCGTAACTAGCAAACAAGTTATAAATGAGACAAAGTTTTGATTATGGGACCATGCTGTTAAAGCAGTTAGGTTAATGCTGAGGTGCTAGCATTGTCTTGTAGTCCCAATGCCATATAAATTTCTCCTTGAATAGACAACCAAGTCTTGTACTTATGTGTGACAAGAGTTGCACACAAAGATACCTTTTGAACATATAGTGGCATAAGACAATGATATATAGGCTACTAAATAATCCATAATTTTTAGAGAATTAGCAAGTGTATGAACATTTGAAGAAAAAATTCCTGTTATGCTTTAAGGTGAAAAGCATGCAGAGAATAAGAAAAGGCATGCCCAGCATACCAAGAGAACTGAATTAAAAAGAAACCAGAACTATCTTGGCTGGCACAGGGGAAAAGCAACTGCACCACCATTTTATTATGAACAAGATCAAGGTTCCAAATTGTAGCAAAGTATTAGGCATATATGCTTACAATGACATCTAAAGACTCAAGCTAGGTTATTTAGTTTTGAAGTATATATATACTTGAACAGGGCATTTAGCACAGGAGTACAGCACCAAGCAAGATGGAAACACAACTTCCTATTCAGTATGCTATAATTTCACACGATGGAACTACCTTGAAGTTCTAACATGTTCCAGAACCGGGAACACCAAGTTGTTATCACTTAACTATTGGCAGAAAGTCACTATTCAAATACAACTCAACTTTACCTAACCAAGGAAGCGACAGAGAAATAATTGAAAATGTTTATATGGGAGACAAAAATAATTCAAAAGGTTAGGACAGTTTCCAAGTAAAATAGAAGAAAAATCCTTCGGCAAACAAAAAGGCACAACACAAACAACTAGTTGAACTCACTACTCACCCAAACACATTAAGTCCGACACTAACAACCACATTATAAATCAATATAGATCAACCAAGAGCAGTTACATACGAACAAATACATCCAGGCCAAAGTTGGAGTCAGGTCACAGTCCAAGCTACCCCGCAATAGTGACGTACTGATTTTAAGAGCAGAATGCTACTGAACAAACACCTCAATCATGAAAAATCTGTATGAAAAGTTGCTACCAGAACAATTTCTAGGAACTGTCCAGCGCTAATTCTTACACCTAACTACCTAAGCACATATTGCAAATGACCAAATACTATGGATTACAGAAGCTTGGCACAATTGACCATATACAGAAAATTATGGCAGCATTAAAATGTACAATTCTAAGGTAACATTAATAACACTAATATTGGATGTAGAGCGCAAGAACGCAGGACAAGGTTGGAGAAAGCAAGCAAGTGAAATTGGAAGTGAAAGAAAAGGGTAGGTAGTATGAGGCTTACGGGCTTGGCATTCGTAACGGAGTCCGGCAGGTCGCCGCGGCGGCGGGAGCTGGTGGAGCCGGGTCCCATGCGCCGGGACAGGGAGGCCCCGGCGTCGATGCGGCGCGACATGGAGCCGCCGGCGTCGAGGTGCTGGTGGATGGCCATGGCCAGCGCCTGGCGGTGCAGGAGCTCCTCCTCCGCGGGCGTGAGCTTGGGCCCGCCGCGCGCCGACCGCGCGCTCCCCATCCGCTTGCTGCGCGACACCAAGGCCGCGCCCCGCTGCTCCTTGCGCGGCATGCACGCGAACGCGTTGCCCATTGGGAACGCAAAATCCGAGACGGGGAAACGAGTGTGGGAAGAAGCCGCAAAGCTGCCGCGCAAGATTTAGACAAGACAAGAACGGAGGACTGTGGACTGGGCAGCAAGCAAATCGCGGCAAAGGCGAGCGAGAGCAAAGAAACCAAGGGAAAAGGGAGGAATTTTAAAGCAGGAACTGAGCTCTGCTTCAAGAACACGCTACTCTCACCACTGAGCGGTGGAAATCAAATCAGCGCGACTCGACACGAAATCCTCGGGGTGAAAGAATTCAACCTTTGAGAGGAACAAGTTGACCCCCGGCACCGGGAAAATGGAAACTCCGACGAAGTCAAGAAACTCCGAGCGGCGAGATTGGACTCCGGCGACGACGCATGGGTGACCAGAACAGAAACGCTATCCCTGGGTGGGCCGGCCTAGCAAATGAATTTCTTCTCGACGCAAGGGAGGCAGAAGCACACACAGCACGGAGCAGATCTGAAAGAACAGGGCGGAATTTATGAGTGGTCCTTGCACCTAACTCATCTCCACAGGAATCTCGCCGGAGCGATTTATTTCCCTCCCCTGCGCGGCACCTTCCGAACCGAGAAAAATAAACGAGAAATCTTTGGCAGCCGATGCTAATCAAACAAGGGAAGGAAGGGAGTTCAACGCCAAAGCCGCCGGATTGCAGGAAGCTTTTGGGCGGTTTCTAGGGAATTGTGTCTCTTGCCGTCTTCCTACTTGCAAGCTAGCGCGGACTATGCTGTACACCGCTCTCCAGCTTTAGTTTGTTCTCTTCTGTAGGGAAAACAAAAGAAATGGTTTCTTTTATGCTGTTGCGATTTTATTTTATTTTATTATTCCACACAAGTACACTGATTGTCTCGTTTGGTCTGGCTTTTGACCACCTTGCTGTCTTGTCTTCTCCATCTTCTTCAGATAAAGATGAAAGTGGCAGCTCCTTTCATTTCCCCTTCTGAAATCTGAAACACTAAAAATAACTTCCCTCCGGTGCTCTTTTCCTCTGGTTTTTCTTTGATTTCTGGGGAGCGGATATCCTGGTCTGCCCTTTTTCAGATCCCAGGACCTGCTTCTCATAATTCTATTATCAGTCTATCAGCATGCAGCAATAAATCTGCAGTACTTCTCTCTCTCTCTCTTTTTTAATCAGTTTGTTCGCTGGTTGGTTTCTGGGCTAATAAGCTCGGCTATGACTAGTTTGTTATGAGAGAAAACACTATATCATGACTAATAAACTCTGCTAAAACCAACAAACGAACGTACTGAATAACTGACGGAATGCAAAAGATAGTTGGTGTGTCTAGCTTTTGAGCTCCAGAATTTCGTCGGCCCTGATTTAAAGATATGTGGCTGCACGTCTGCACGACTGCACCTGTGATTTGCTGGGGGAAAAAAAGTGAGAATAGGGCCACCTGATGAACGAACACAAACAGAGCGGATGAAGCGTTGCTGGAAGTCAAGCAAGTTACCCTCAGTCAAGCAAGTTACCCTTATCTTCCTTTGCAATTCTTTATTGCGTGGATCGCAGCGTTCAACAACTCCCTCCCATAAATTTGAGCCGTTGAAATGACGCTGGAATAGTGTGGTGCTGTAGGTGACTCAAAGTGAAATTGCTCACATGCTCATGCTGGCAGCTGGTGTGCGGTGTGCCATCGCCAGGACGGCAGTTACTTGCTCCGTATTTACTCATGTGGTTTTGGCCACCTTTTTCTTCTGCATTCAGCCTTGAATTGCGAGTAATCCTTCACCTCTACTATATCTCTGGACCTAAATAACTGTCGTTCTCACCTCTTGACAAGTTAAACTCTTTTAACTTTGACAAACTATATACAAGAAAATATTAATATTTATAGTACATAATTAGTATCGTTAGATAGATCGTTAAATCTATTTTTATAATAAACTTATTTAGAGATAAAAAATATTGTTAATAATTTTTACAAACCTAGCTAAATTTAAGAAAGTTTAAACAGCACGAATACCATAACGACAGTTATTTAGGGATGGAGGAAGTAGTAAACTACTACTGACACGTGGTTACTCCTATTTATAAGATACGAAGAATACCAAATCTTATAAATTTTGAACTCTTAAGATTAGTCAACTTCTATGAGGAGCATTAATTGGTGTAGGAAAGCTACACCAAAGTTATAGTAATTCAGATATAAGATTTCAGTATGATATATTGATTATTTATAGGAATCTACGAGTTTTTTTTTTTTTGTTGAAGAATTGGAGTCTAGGAGAAATGGATGGCCGAAATTGGCCGAAAGCACATATCTAAAGGCTCTCCAAATAAATGACCGTCCTAGAGATGCGTTGACCTTGCTTGCCATCATATTTTCCCTCTTTTACCCTTTTTCACATGCATGTTGAGTTGATCTGCCCTGACATTTTTTTAGATCTTGAGATGCGATGAGGTGTACGTGTACTGGTTTGCAAGTAGCACATGGGTCATGTCAAAAGCATGCCTGGCTCCCTGAATCCACGGTTAGTTAAGAAAGAAAATTCAGTGTCGTGCAGTAGTTAGTCACAACTCACGACAAGGTGATGTGCAGCAGTTGTCCTGGAGTTGTACGTATATGCCGTAGCCGTTTTGTTCTCTTTGAACAGAACCTACCAGGCTACCAAAGTAATCCATTCCTCATAGAGGGTGTTAGTGGTGGCTAATGAGAAAGGGACCCGGCATGAAGAGATGGGAGCTTACTAAGGCCTTCCACAGTGGGTAGTGATGTTGGATGGAAAAAATAAGTCCCACAACAAAAACTGGCATTGACTCTTGATGCGATCTTCACGACGACTACTACACCATCAACAACTGCAAGGTGGTTCTGCTGCCATGTTGACTTCTCTATTTGTTGGTCCATCCCGCGAGGTTTTCGGTATCAATAGTTGGAACGAGCAAACAGAAAAGGTTTTTTATATTTTGGGCACCGACACTTGAACTTACGCCGCTCTCAACTTTCATGGTATCGCTACAAGTTAGCATCACCTGCCACAGTGCAGAGTGATGCTCCTATGTTCTCTTTCTTGTTTGGGCATCACTTCAACACACGTTGTGGAGAGCCTAAGTTCCAGAGGAAAACTTAACCTTTCACAAAGCACAAGTGCACAATAACTAGTTCAATACATAAAACTTTGGAGAAAAAAAATCAAACAGCTAACCTTTCCACGGCGGTTGAGGACACAATCACTTGAACCCTTACCAATCATGGTGATTGCAAAACAATTTCTGCACATCAGGCCTAATTCAACAAACTGACTGTATGTAAACAATTAGGAGACCATCATGTAGCGAAATTGGGCACCACCAAAGTGCAAATTTTTTGTTGAGTTGCTCCTACAGGACAGGATGTGATGAACTGCAGATCGGCTTGCAAGACTTGGCTAGCCTAACCAATAGATATGCATATATGTTGTTGCATCCCACCCTACGCATCTCACGCACCCCAGCACTTCCTTCTCCTTCACCGTGGCTCCCCTACGCTGGATCCTCTCACATCCTATCTCCACCTGACCTCATCTTACTTGCATGCCAACATAATGGTAGGGAGCTGGGTAGGGGCGCAACGGGTTTGTCAGGCCATCAGGCCGGCCCAGCCTAGCTAAACCCTTGTAGGGGTCATGCCTGAGCCGAAGACACGACACAAAAGGTAATAAGATCATGCCTTAACAGGCTCAGTCGCCCGTTTGGCCATCTATATTGGTGGCGAAGATCAAGAAGAGGCATGCTCTTGGTGTATTGCCTATGCCAAGAGGTTGAAGGCGCTCTAAAATTTTCTGCTTTGAGAGTACATGATTGTTTTTTGTCTTGTCCTTCTTTGTTATTTTGTTGGACTTCTAGGCTTAGCCCAATTACCTCTATTTATTTAATACAAACGGCATGTCCTGTCTGTTCACTTAAAAAAGATGGTAAAAATTGGAGGAGATAGATTGTTGAGATTGCTACAATCTGGATAAACTGTTAAAAGCGTGGGCAGGTATATTTTTTTGATGAATTAGAGCTTTCAAAAACTAGCTTCGGAAGAGCCATCGTACTAGTGCTGTCATGAGAACGGGGATGTAACGGCACGTACGTATAGCTAAGTAGCAAGCGATTCGTTTTTTCTTGTGTGACTCACCAATAACGCAAGTGATCAGAAGAAAAAGCAGCAACAAATAATGCATGCATTTGATGTATAGCGACGTTGGCGATGGCACCGTACGTCGGCCACACAGTGCATACATAGACTGTATGGACTTGAAGATATGATGGAGTACACCAAACGCTTCAACTACTAACAACCTGCATCGATCTTTATACTAACAAACCTGCATCGTCTTTATACTCCTACATGAGCTAGTAGGAAGGAGTAGTTCGTCAGCATGGACGGATCGCCCGGTCCAACAAGCAATCATCCGTGTCCATCATCGTCTAATACGCTGATCTGCCGTGTCCTCGTGCCACAGTATATATGTGAGAGAGACGTACGTACGTACTGGTACTGTGTTGTTCCTGCAGATCCAACTGCTTTTGCCTTTAAGTATGTTCAGAGCTACTAGCTAGCCTGCCACACTTATAGCAACGCCTCATATTTTTTTTAGGGAGCGGCTCTATATTAAGCCACCTCTACGAATGGTTTCTAAATAAGTCCTCTCCAAAAATCTATTTGTAGGGGCTGCTGGTGTTATTAGCCACCCCCGACTCTATTTCCAGTCTCCGTTCCCGACGCGCAATGTCATGCTCCGTCCTCCGCCGCACCCAGGCCATGCGCCAGGAGAGGGGGCTGTCGCTAGCCGGCGCGGGCGCAGCTGACCGCTGCCAGGTCGCGCCACTATTCTCAGCCGCCAGTGGTCGAAACTGGCCGTTCCCTGCTCTGCTCTGTGTTGCACGGAAGAAGGGTGAAAAACACATATTGCAAGCGTATATTTCAAGTGTTTCAAATATTTTAGAGGTATGTTGTAAGTGTTTCAAATGGATGTTGCAAAAATAGATCGGGATGTTGCATATATTGCAATAG